TACATAATGTCGGACCTATAACCATAGCAGACCTGTAACCACAGCGTTTTACATATTGTTTGCATTCTTTATCATGTGTTTGTCTGTCATGGTGGCTAGAATTTTATGGGGCGCCGTTTGTTCATAAATTATTTAAAATAATATCACTTCGCTTTTTTCATTATTTACTAATAATTTAAGTTATTTATTACAAAATTGAACAGTACAATTATTATTAAGCAAATAAACAGAAAATGTGGAAGTGATTATTTACTATATATACACAATCCAAAAGTGATTATTTATTATATAAACAAAATCCAAAACTGCAAAAGTCATTATTTACTATATAAACACAATCCAAAAGTGATTATTTATTATGTAAACAAAATTCAAAAGTGATTATTTACTATATAAACAAAAACTCAAAAATGATTGTTTATTATATAAACAAAATCCAAAAGTGATTGTTTATTATATAAACAAAAACCCCAAAAGTGATTGTTTATTATATAAACAAAATCCCCAAAAGTGATTGTTTATTATATAAACAAAAACTGCAAAAATGATTATTTATTATATAAACAAAAACCCCAAAATTGATTATTTATTATATAAACAAAAACCCCAAAAGTGATTGTTTATTATATAAACAAAAAACTCCAAAGTGATTATTTATTATTTAACCCAGTCCCCACCCGACCGGAAGCTGTCCAGGGGGCGGGTATGGCGATTGGATACTTTTGGCGTGAATCTGGCATTCTCTGAAAAACATGGTGACACAAAATGGTAGCTCGCACAACGTTGCAAATTCATTAAGTCAAGCAATCACTGCTCTAAATTCTCTTAGATCTGTCCTTTCTGATGCAGAATTGCAGGTAAGTTTCTGCTGTTCATATGTCTGTTCGATCAGTTGCTATTTTGTAAATACTATATAATATTTTGCTTGGCTTTGAATAAAGGCTAATTCCAGTTCGGCTACGGGTAGAGTAACTACATAACCAACAGTGCAAAGTTCTGAAAGAGAATCGCAGCAATCGAATCGGCAAAGTTTGCTCCCATCGTCGTTTCTCGCCAGACGTCATTTGACTGCAACTACATCAACGAAGAGTCTCTGGTCAACTCGGCAAGGAGAAAACATATACAAAGGACATTGCATGTCTGCTTCAGCAGCAACATCCACTGGTACTGGATGATAGCTCTATCATTCCAATTCCATGAGGCAAAGCAAGAGGTACTCTTGCAGAACTTGGTCTGATTGGTAAAGTCCGTTTAGTATCAACATGGTCAAGTGCAAGAGTAACAGATGAGATAACCAGTGTATTTTCCTCTTCATTTGGCCTGGAAGAAAACAAGCAACTCAAGTTTAAGTACCTTTCAGTTGTACCTGGAGCGAAAGTGCTGTCTGTTGCCAAAGTGTCTTCATCATTTTCCTGGAGTGATCACTCACTGGCAGGACAAGGATGTATTTACATCTTGTCTGAAATGCAGTTAAAGAAAACAAACCTAGGGCAAAACATTAGAACGTGAAGATGCCATAACCATCAACGATTCTGATTCAGAACATGAAGTTGAGGTATATAATATTACTTCCACCAGGAAGTTTTATCTATGTTCTACTGTCAGCATAATAACTTAAAGTATCAAACTTACTAGAAATACATGCATGTAGGAACCCCCCATGCAGGCTCGCCAGGGCTGTCCCGAGCTGTATTTGCTTGGGAGGGTGATTAAAAAAATTTGGGACCCCTTACCTTTTTGGGGGCCCCCTCATGGCCCTCAAAAAATTGTTCCAGTAGCAAAAAAACGGGGGGCGGGGGGTTCGTCGTTTTTTTCGACAACATGAAAAAATCCGAAAAAATTTCCAAACACTACTTTCAGATAGTGGCGGCTTAAAAGTACTATTCCAGAACTTTTTCAATCTCAATTTTTCAGACAATTTCTTAAATTTAACATGTTCTGCAGTTCCATGATTCCAGGGGCCCCCTCTGGGCAAGTTGGGTCCCCTTTTTTGACATTGACCCCCCAGTAGTTCTGAGGCTCGCATTGTGATGTTAAGTGTCGCCATGACAACATGACACCACAGAATAGAGTAATACAGAAGGTTGACTCGGCCAACAAACTGTAACCACTGCCACCCTATAATTTGCAATGATTTGTCATCAAGGTGCGTTGCCATGGTCCTAGCCAATGTGGTTATGAGGGGCATTCACCCCCTGAATGCCTGCTATTTTTAATATTTTAAGTTGGGGGGGGGGGGCTGGAGGAGGTGAATGCTTCTCAACAGAGGCGTAGAAGCGGCTCTAAAAGTGGGGGGGGGCACACTTAGCACCCGCCAAATGCAGGTAACATTTATCACTTATTTACTGAGACCGAGGGAAACAGTGTGTTTTGTGGACCCAAGACCGCCGTTGTTATAAAGTATATAAATGTCAAAGTATGAATAATTCACTGGTTATTCAAGTGAACTTAATTTTAAACCAAAAGTGGATAAATGGAACGCCGTAAATGTTTCGTAAAAAGTTTTAAAAATGAACCTTGGAACTTCATGGTTGACACGCATGCGTATTGCACCCATTTTATTATTGACCGGTCAATAAATGTTTCATTGCAGACCGGTTGCCGAACATGACGTTTTGTGGACCGGCACGTAACACGGTTTTGACCAATCAGCAAACAGAAAAATTGAACTTTGACACTAACTATATAACAGTCAAACGTCTGGGGGAATGCCCCCACTCCCCGGAAAAATTTTTAAAACTAGAGTCTTTGAAATGCCATTTAGAAGGAGATTTACAGAGTTCTAAAGGTAACAAAATGTCATTAAAATATACATCTCAAATTGTTTTGTCTACATGTGTAACTGAAATAATATTAATTAACTTTGTGGTTTATTATTGACCATTGTTACAAAGTGGGAAGCCAAAGACAATTAGGCTCCCCACTAAAAAAGAAAGTGAGGGCCTGGGCCAAACTAACCCCCACTTCTGACGCCCCTGCTTTTCATAAGCGCACTGGCTAGGAACATGCATTGCAATAGTTATGCCAAAATCATAGAGGTAAAGCAGCAAAATATGAAAGAGTTTAGTACTTTTAACTATATGTAACAACGAATTTCCAAAATATATACTGTAGGTATAATCTCGAACTGTCTGGGATGCAACTACGAAGAATTTCGAAGAAGAAGAATTTAGACGTTTTGAGTGAAGGTCCTTTGTCTGGAGTTACTGAGTCACCATAACCCTAACCTGAGATCAGGCTCTATTTTACAAATAACAGCCTGACACAATCCTTAATCCGATCGCTTTCCACCCACAGCAAAGTTTATATTTGGTATCCAATCAAAATGTCGTAGGAGAAATTTAAATTTGACACAACGACAACAACAATCTAATTATAGTTGTGATCACTATAAATATATCAACAACAATAGTATAATCTAATTAGTACCAACCATTCAAATGACAGATTAAAAAATCTTTTGTCTCAACCAATCAGATTTACAACCGGACTATTTATTTATTTATAGGCCTGATCGCAGGTTACAGACACAGTAACCCCAGACGAAGGGCCTTCGTTCGAAACGTCGAAATGCTCCTTATATTTTTCAATTAGTTGCATCCCTACCAATGAAACCTTGTTTATACTGTAGGTATGGAGCCATTCACAAAATATGTGACGCTTGTGGGGGTACGGGGTGTTTGAGTAGGAGTCACATAATGTCACAAGAGGGGGGAGGGGTATCACAAGGGGGATCACGTACAGAGTGGCATATAGGGGAACATGTATCCATGTCTATAAAAAACAAGACCGTTCTTGCAGATATGTGTCCCTTTAATGACGAATCAAATAATGTTTTCTATCAAAATACTTCTCCTGACATCGCCATGGAATTCGGCTCTCAATTTATTTACGGCACTGTTTATTCAGCGAACCAGCGAGAACCTGAGTGGGAAACTGTTTAGGCCAAGGTTTAATAAGGCATTTACATAGTGTTGATGTATATATATAGATAACGTTTTGAATCTGTTGCATATTAAATTTGTGTTTTGTGAGTGCGTTTTTTTTGGGAGGGGCCGGGTTGGCTCAGTTTCCCGTATTTTGCATTTTGTGAGCTTTGATTTAATGTAAAATTTAGTCTGAAACACTTTGTAAAATGTTTTGAAATGTTCATTCAACTAAATTGCTTTGGCCAATAAGCTGTCTTTATTTAATTTAATAAAACAAAATAAGTTCAAATTTCAGTTCAGTCTTTAAATTAATTTGCTTAATTAAATAGAACAGGGTAATTTAGGAAATGTACAGTGCAGCTTCATTGGAAAGGAAAGCAGTGCATGTTTAAAGCAACAAATTCATGAACATTAATTAAACATTCAAAGCAAACTTGCCCTATGTTTCAAGATTTGCCATAGTGAATAAATCTTGTTATAAAATAAATCATAAAATAAATTTATATTTTAAATTGTTCAAACAAAATTTGCTTCAAAGCTCGCTGTATATGAAATGATTTTCTAAAAATATGTTTTTGAAAATTGAAATTTTGCTTATCCCTACTCCTGGCAAGCAGCCGTAATTTTGAGATCAGTGAAGAGGTTCAGCCCAACCATATACCATAACAAGTTGACATCTTACGTACTTTATGTTTTATGCAGCAGATATATCGAGATGTTCATCTATTTTAATATCTATTTTACTTTATTTGCAAAGGGAACAACATCGAACCCTTCAGATGAATTTCAGTTAAGGTACAGTAAAGTGCTAGTAAATTTATATATTTTGCAAATTGCTTAATTGCAACTAATCTGCAAACCTTGACGCCATTTACATTACAATGGGAATTTAGTTTTTGCACTGCTAACTGTTGTGGAACCCAGTGCCTAGCCCTGGGACGCCTTGACGTACACTGTTTAGTTTATGTTTATGTAAATGATTTTATGTGGCTACCTTAAAACTTTTTTCTTATATTTTAAAGATCTCATTCAAGTGCACATTCATCCAACCACGTACCTGGTTTTGACGAAATGTATGCTGCTCTTCTCTTTAATCAAGCCAATTCGGATGTGTTGGATGAAGATGATTTGGTCTTTGAAGATGACCATATGTTGGGTGCTCCTGATGTGAATGAGAACACAATGCAAAACGTTACACTGAAAGAAATTCTGCGAAATCTTTCCGAAACACTGACATATGACAAAATCTCCAAGTTCAACATTAGCAGAAATCACATTTGGAAGGGAACGAAAAGAGCACTCAACAGAAAATCATTTCAACCGCGCAATAAAATATCTGTAAAATTTACAGATAATATTGGTGCATCAGAGGGCGCAGTTGACCTTGATGGCCCTGCAAGGGAATTCTTCACATTAGTTACAAAATGGTTGGTAAATTCGCAGCTATTTTTTGGTGTGGAAACCTCAAAGTTCTTATCCTTGAATGCCAATTGTTTGGAAGAAAGAGAGTATTACCTAGCAGGACAAATATTTGCTATGTCATTGGTTCATGTTGGCCCAGGTCCCAAATGCTTTGCAGAGTCATGTTATTATGCCATTGTGAAAGAAACTGCAACCCAAAACTTTCATGCTGATGTGAATGATGTCCCTGACTATGAACTGAGATCATCATTTGGTCGATTGCTAAAAGCTTCTGATGCTAAAGAGGCCACACAGATAATCAATAATGAAAAGCTCGATGTTCTTCTTGATATGGCTGGTACATTCCAAGTGGTTAAAACAGCTGACATTCAGAATATGGTTCAGAAAACGGTCGATTGGTATGTTTTGGGCAGAGTTCAGGCAGCTTACAACAGTTTCAGAGAGGGTCTACAAGCGTTAGGAGTATTAGAAGCCATGAGGTATCACCCCGGTGTCTTTCGTGAGGCCTTCTGCTACACACCAGAGATCCTGACTGCAAGTAGTTTTGAAGCGCTGTTTGCAAACGTGGTGCGTCAATGCGAGGGTTCCAACAGAAGATTGGTTGAAAACCTAGTCCTTTCCCATTGGCACGACTTCTTGCAAGACTTCCTGCGTGCCTAGTTTCTCCGACATTCTTTTCTTCACAACTGGTTGCAAGCAATTACCTCCTCTCGGGCTTTCTTGCAAACTAGCATTTCTTCATGACCCAGAAGATGACAGAAAGCTTTCTAAATTTCCGAAGGCCAACACATGCGCAGGTATTATTTATCTTCCAGTTGTTCACAAAGACTACGAACAGTTTAAAGATGCAATGATATTTGCCATACCAAACAGTAGGGGTTTTGGGATTGCATGAAGTATCGTCAAGAAAATAACTTGTGTTTTCATGTGATTATTGTACATTATAACTCTATCTGCGCAACTTAATGATTGGATGTTCCCAAACTAGTAACGCATCTTTTATATTTGTATTTTATAAACTGGTTATTGTTGATTTGCTGTTTGTTATACATTGCGAAATGCAGGAACATCTCACAAATTTTCCAGGGAAATCATACACTTGATAATTATGTCAATTAAAAAAAATATGTCTACTCTTTAGCAATCAGAATTGAGTTTGTGTTTGATTGTATAATAATTAACGATTATTAAATTCGGTTATCGCATGATATGAAGAATTATCAAGGACAAAGTGTGCTATATCTGCCAAAGCCAAAGTCTTGGAAGACAAACAAATTCCTTGGTAATTCTTCATATAATCTGAAAACAGACTTCAATAATTGTCGTTTTATTTATTTAATTCTTTAAATATATAAAAGACATTCGTACATGTGGGTTAAATTCTTAAAAATAATCATAATTGAGTTCTTGCTATTTGCAGAAAATGCGAGCTTTTTATACATCCCAATATTTTTGCAGCAGGTTTTGTTGCTCGTGTAACTCCAGCTTTAAGCCTGCAAACGGCCATTTTATTTTTGTCCTTACGTGTTTGGCATATTTATGGTAGTGTTATATATTTGTAAGATTTTCGAGTGAATAAAATTATGTTACGTTATGTTATATCACATGATATGACGTCAAATCGTTGGTGAGCCATTGAGTTCATATCACGATTTTGCTGATGGCTTTTAGTCAATCAGAAATATGTATTATTTAAAATAAGTAACACTTCATTTCCTCTATTTGGCCCGCTGGGGATTTTTTCCCATTTGTTCTGGACTGTGGGCTAATTAGAGGCAAGGCTAAATAAAAGGTTCGTGCTGTTTCCTGCTGACACAAACATACTTGAAAAATGAACCTGGTGGTGTCAAATTTCTGCTTTTCATTTTTTTGCCATTGTAACCAAATATAGTGTACTCTTGTGAATATATCATTTATATTATGTAAACAAACTTAAAAATAGGGTACAACAATAGGGTAAACACTTTAATTAGGTTTCTATTTCATTTTATGTTCTTGCAAAGTCTGATTATTGTATCTTGATCATTTATTATACTGTAGAAGCATGAAAATATAAATAGTTGTCGAATAAAGTTGAATATTTTTAATACAGAAATGTAAACATAGGCTTTGTTTACATACGGAGTGTACCCTACCTTTAAGAAGTTCAACAAATACACGAAAACAAAACATGCATCTTTAATTCAATATAAATTTTATCACAATTATAACAAGGTTAGGTCGATTTAAATGTGGAAATACTATGCATTGGTTAACAGCACATGTCTTAGAAATGCATCGACATCTAAGCAGTTTTGTGACTTTCGTCAGTACTATTTAAAATGCTCCTACCAACAAATTCAACTGTTTCTAAATACAAATCTTTACCATTGGTGCTAGAGGTCGCTAATGGGTTAGTTATACTTTGAAGTAGGTGAAGGTTAGCAGCAGACAGTGGACTCTGGACCCTAGGTACTGTTACCACTGAAGTTTCTGGCAGCTCTGTTGCCCAATCATCCGGAGTTGGGTCATTTAATTCACCGCCATGAAAAGATGGCCAGGGCATATAAACTGTAAACAACTGTAATGGAGTAGCTGATCCCTCTGACAAAATTTTGTGGTGGTTGTGAGCATTCATGTGGTTGGTTAATGCTCGATTAATGCGAGGTAGGTATACATAATGCAAGCAAAAGATATCTGTTTCGTTGTCCACATTGAGGTGACCCTCCGGTTCTAATTCTTCAAACACTTTCTTAAATGGTGACGTAATGGATACATTCAAGTCTCTATTATTTCTCTCTGCTGGCTGATTCTCGTCTCCATAGGCATTGTACATTGTTGTCCAGATGCCAACGTTCTCTCCACCATGATCTGTTCGCACATGCTTGGGCATACCAAACTCATTTGTTGCTTCATTCAACAGTTCTACAACAGTCTGACATCTGTTATTATCTGAACACTGGAGAAATGTAATGAGTCTGGAATACCCATCAATTGCACAATGAATTACTAGTCTGTAATGGATTAGTTTATGATTTCCATCAATATGCCAAATAAAGTTTGGATGTGGAACCTCGTAAACTCTTCCCTTTATACCGTTTGCTTTCCCCTCTTCAACACCTACAGGGTCAACTCTGTGAATTGCTTCTCGCAAACATTTCCGTTGAACATCAATCCCTTTTGATCTCAGATGGCCCATTAACATAACCTCACCCATTTTGTGCTGATCTTGATAAATTTGTTTAATAGTGTTATCAAGTTCATTATCTGATATTATTGAGTATTTCTCTTTGTAGTTAATCCTATATTCATTCATCTTCTTGTACAAAGAGGTCCTGCTTACTCCTGCATATACCAAGAACCTTTGCAATTTGTGCATATGAAAGTTTGAGAGCAAGAAGTTCAGTTATCATTTATTTTGTCACATGGATGCCCACTTGGTTCTATTGAAAACATTAATACGTTTGATTAAAACGTTTGATCTGAGAGAATGTTAAATCACAATATTATTCCGTAAAACAAATTTAACAAGTGACCCAGTTTTGACTGGTTTTTAACTTAATTTTTCGCGAGTCTAATGTCGAACTAATGTGAGTCTAATGTTGAACTAAGGAAACCAACTTAATTTCAGAAATAAACTTACCACTTCCATTGCCTCGTTCTCTTCGTCATCAATAACCGCAGTAACTTGTGTCGAACCTGCCGCCATGTTTTATCGCGAATGAATCCTGAAGAGCTTCCGGTCAGTCGGGTGGGGACTGGGTTAAATAATAAATAATCACTTTTGGGGTTTTTGTTTATATAATAAACAATCACTTTTGGGGTTTTTGTTTATATAATAAATAATCACTTTGGGGTTTTTTGTTTATATAATAAACAATCACTTTTGGATTTTGTTTATATAATAAATAATAATTTTTGAGTTTTTGTTTATATAGTAAATAATCACTTTTGAATTTTGTTTATATAATAAATAATCAGTTTTGGATTGTGTTTATATAGTAAATAATCACTTTTGCATTTTGTTTATATAATAAATAATCACTTTTGGATTGTGTTTATATAGTAAATAATCACTTCCACATTTTCTGTTTATTTGCTGAATAATCATTTTACTGTTCAATTTTGTAATAAATAATTTAAATTATTAGTAAATAATGAAAAAAGCGAAGTGATATTACTTTAAATAATTTATGAACAAACGGCGCCCCATAACGCAAGGGTAAGGAATTTATTAATATAATTTTACATGTAAATTTATGATAGTACTTCATTGTATTAAAAGCTTGTTTTAGCTGGGTTGATAATAACTAGTAATTTACTTGCGACAAATATATAAAGTAATACTTGGGAGACGCAGACATAGTTGTGCATTCGACGCCGAAGCGAACTTATTAATGTGGATAATAACTAGTAATTTACTTGCGACAAATATATAAAGTAATACTTAGGAGACACAGACATAGTTGTGCGTTTGAAGCTGAAGCGAACTTTTTAGTAAAAATTGCCAATCTTGGCAAAAGACCAATTGCCAATCTTGGCAAAAGACCAATTGTGGTTTGTCCCATTGTGGACTGTAATAAAACAAGTGAGAACCAATTGTGGCATGTCCCATTGTGGACACTAATAAAACAACATTTGCATATAAAAGCCCTGCTGCAATCTCATCTGTAGTATTTATAGTATTACAGTAACAAAGCTATGCACACTTTTAAACCAAATACCGAAAATATAAGTGAATTGTTATTTCGCTTGAGCGAAAGACTAGCAAGAAAAAATTTAAAACCTTATGATGTAGGTGGATCAGGTGATTGCTTCTTTAAATCAGTTTCTCACCAGCTATTTGGCACGCCAGATCGCCATTTAGAAATTTGTTTGGCACGCGTTAATCACTTAACAACACACCCTGAATATTATATTGAATTCAATGTTCATGATTTGTGGTTAGATTATTTAAGAATGATGTCAAAACTTGGCACTTGGTGCGATCATATCATTATACAAGCCGTTGCTAATGCATTTACCTGTATAATTGACATAACTGAGAGTGGTATTGGCTTTGAGGAAACCACGTTAGTTAGACCACGTGCTGTGCAACAGCACGCCAGATTAATACATATTGGGCACTTGGATGAAATGCATTACGTATCAACAAGTCCAATGATTCAGCCTAGTGAAAACCAGACAAATTGTTCAAACAAAGAAAAACAAAAAACTAAAAAGCATGAACAGTATTTAAAAAGGCCTCTGAAATGAAGGACCAAAGAGCCAAAAGGCTTGTCCAAAGCAAGGAGTACAGGAAAAAAAAAATTCTAATTCAGTGCAAAATCCTGCGTCTGCAGCAGGAAAACAAAAAACTAAAAAAACATGAACAGTATTTAAAAAGAAAGCCTCTGAAAACAAAGAGACAAGAGACAAAAAAACCCCAAGGCAAAGTGAGGGAAAAAAGAAAACAATTTCTAATTCAGTGCAAAATCCTTTGTCTGCCAAACAATCAGTGCAAAATCTTGTGTCTCCAGCAGAAAAACAAAAAACTAAAAAGCATGAACAGTATTTAAAAAGGCCTCTGAAATGAAGGACCAAAGAGCCAAAAGGCTTGTCCAAAGCAAGGAGTACAGGAAAAAAAAATTCTAATTCAGTGCAAAATCCTGCGTCTGCAGCAGGAAAACAAAAAACTAAAAAAACATGAACAGTATTTAAAAAGAAAGGCCTCTGAAACAAAGGAGCAAAGAGACAAAAGGCTTGCCCAAGGCAAGGAGTACAGGGAAAAAAAAGAAAACAATTTCTAATTCAGTGCAAAATCCTTTGTCTGCCAAACAATCAGTGCAAAATCTTGTGTCTCCAGCAGAAAAACAAAAAACTAAAAAACATGAACAGTATTTAAAAATAAAGTCCTCTGAAACGAGGGAGAAAACAGACAAAAGGCTTGCCCGAGGCAAGGAGTACAAGAAGAAAAAGTCTGAATTAATAAACATGTGTTACTCAAAACAGAGTTCAATTTATGATTCAATGCCAAATTCTGCCACTGCAACAAAAATAGCAAGGCCTTTGTTAAAAGGGACATATTTTAGTAATTTTTATATTTCGAAAATAAGTGAAATTCATGAACAAGCATGGGCAAAAGAAAATATGAGCAATTTTCATAAATCTATTCTTTATTCTATTATTCAATGTACTGTATGTAATGAGGCATGTCCAACTAATGAGAAATTACAAGCTGCTTCACTTGCCAGCTATGTTTGCAAACAATGTAAGGGGTATAAAAAACCGTAAAGAAATTTTCAAAAGAAAACTTCATGATTCCAAGTTCTGTTCCCTTGGTATTAGAACATCTTACTCAGGTTGAAGAAATGTTAATTACACATGCTCTTCCTATAATGCATGTTTACTTAAAGCCTGGCGGTCAACGAGGTTACTCAGGCCATTGCATAAATTTACCACAAAATGTCAGAACTTGCTCAAACTTTACCAAGGTATCCAACAGATATATCTGTTATAGTTGTTAAGATGAAAGGTAAAGATAACAACTTCAAAGATGTGATGGTAAGAAGGCTGGCTGTTGCCGATGCATTACAGGCTTATACAAAATAACCCACACTACAAGTGTGTAGTTGTTATTGATGAGAATTACTTGGCAGCTAGTAATGGCAGCTAGTAATAATACTAATGTTTTTATATATCAAATTTCACGGTATGTTTACGGTTAAAGGCAATAATAACCAATTCTGGGCCTCCAAATTCTTTTTTACATTTTCGTCTGCTGACATGCATTGACCTGAACTACATGCACTTTTTAGCAGCTCAGCTGATCAGAATTTATATGATAGTAAACACGAAAATGTTATAAATAATCCCCATATCACTGATTGGTTTTTTACACAACGGTTAGATAACTTTATTAAGCACTGGCTGTACAGATCACTTAATGCTGAATGGCATTGGTATAGATTTGAACACCAAGCTAGAGGCAGTATACATTGCCATGGAGTTGCAAAACTTAAAAATGATCCAGGGTTGTGTAAACTATCAGAAACAGCTCTTAAAGGTTATTTGGCAGAAAATTTAATTAAAAACTCTGATCAAGCAGAAATTGAAGAACTAAATTTACAGATAGCCCAAAGAAAAAAGGCTTCTGAAACAGTTTGTCAGTATGTTGACTGGCTGCTCTCTAGTTATAACCCAGACTCTCCAGAAAATGGTATTTGGGTAAAACCCACTGGACACCCTTGTCAAAAACATCCAGGCGATATCAATGCAATATTATTACTTTAGTAATGAAGAAGTTGCAACTTACAATTCTGAGCAGTTATTAGGCCTATGTCAGCCAATAGCATGTATCAATGCATTTCACTCTAGTGAATTAGCTAAGAAAGCAAGTGCTGATGAGATGTCGGGATTACAACCTACTGTTTTCCTCACAAAAGTGGCACAGGTGATGCTAACCATGAACTTGTGGACAGATGTAGGTTTTTACAATGGTGCAACTGGAACAGTTTTAGAATTTATTTTTGCAAACAATCACCAACCTCCAGACTTACCAGTAGCTGTTATTGTGCAGTTTGATGATTACACAGGTCATCTATCAGCAATCATTTCTTTCATGTGTTCCAATATTTCCAATAGCAATTACCTCTCACACATGTGTGCATGAGAGACAACAACTTCATCTTAAACTTGCTTGGGCTATGACAATCCACAAAAGCCAAGGATTAACTTAGCCAAAGGCATGGATAAACATAAAATCACTTTCGATTGTAGGTCGAACTGAAAAAACTGCAGGAATCTCCTACGTAGCCATCAGCAGAGTAAGAGCACTTTCCGACTGCATCATTGAACCTTTGACCGATCAAGAAGTCTGCAAATTTAAAATTTAGGCTTGATGAAGAAAACCGGCTAGAGAAACTTTGAAAGAACAGCTGAAAATGTGATCTTATAGTGTATTCTGATTTCTTACAAATCCGTAAACACCACTTGGCAGCATATTAAACTTTAATTAATAACAAAATTGCTTACAATTATTGCATTGTTCAATCAACTATTTTTTATCTCAATGATCTATAGCTGTAGTAACAGTTTTGTTCCCAGACAGCCAGACATTGGATACAGGCTTATAGATTAATGTATATCTCATACACCGATATACTGTGATTCATATAATAGCTGAAAACTACATGTACAAATTATTGCATATCAGATATAATTGCAGTAGTATTATGTTATAAAAACCTACAGGCTTACTGTGTACAGTACACTACATCCAACTCATATTCCATTTATTATCAGGAATATTCCTCCAGTCTGAAACGACCGATACACTGTACAATTGGCTTCAGGTGAGTTTCTATATCAGTACTGTATATTTTATTTTCCACCACTACTGTACCTCGTTTGAGATTTTAGAATACAGGCGATAGTCTCTTTTACTGGAAAAACTCAAAAAAAGATCATTTGAGTTTTTCCTCACAAGTGGTCCATCTTTATAACAGCACTCCATGTCCTATGACATCACTGACAGGTCAGTACTGCAGCTTATCGACCACTCGTACACCAATCAAATTACTGCATTGATGGACTGCCTTGCCATATAATAATTTTAAAAACTCAATAGAAAAACACTCAGGAGCAAAACACAAAGAAAAATCATAAGCGTGTCGTGGTTTTATATGTGATAAAAAATCATGTTAATTTACATAAACTTTAGCTTTGATTTTCTCAGTTTAGACAAAGTTTATTTTAAAAATTACTTCGCCACTGAACTTGTATAAGATGAGTAATTTTTTAAGCTAGTTAAAGCACTTGTAGTTGTGTTTTATCACATATAAAACACTCTGCTACACGTCATGTTTTATATGTGATAAAACACCCCTATGTGTGCTTTAAATAGTACTTCAAACACTCATTAATAATTCATAAACTTATTGACAAATCATGTCAACCATAATATGTCACATGCAGTGGCTTTAAACCTGATAAAACACTCCTAATTAGTATTCTTTATATAAAGAATACTAATAAGGCAGTATCTATTGTAGTCGTGTCCTCATTAGTATTCTTTATATAAAGAATACTAACAAGGCAGTATATCTATTGAATTTGTAGTCATGTATGATGCCGTTTAATAAACTCGCAGGTCATGTTTTATTAGGTCTAAAGCCACTTCCGCTGCGCGCTCGTGTCTTTAAACCTAATAAAACACTCCTGCTCGTTTATTAAACAGTACATAGAGCATTAGCCATTATTTTCCACTTTTATTATTATCAAGTATATGTATTCCATTTTTATTGTAGACATTGATCCAAACAAGATAGATTGCTTTGTTCATCAAGTCTCACCAATCAAAAATTCTGGTAAAACAAAATATTTTGATTGTAAACTTCAGACAAGATCCAGTGTAGTGAAAGGTGTCTGTTTCAGCCCCGAAAAGAAAAAACACCTTGAAGATTTCATGTATACATGCAAAGCCGTAACATTAACAAAGTGTGATATCACATGGTGGGCAAAAAAGACAGCAAATTTGGCCACGTACAAATAACTTTCTGTCATTAGTTTGGAATATCATGAAATTTCCTCAAAGGATAGAACTTGACATTCCTAAAAATTGTATGTTTTTTGTTTTCAATATTGTTACATTTTGGTGGAAAAATGACGTCCCAACTTTGGCACCAAAAAACTAAACTCGAACTAAGAACATGCTAGGAACTTTTTTGAAGAGATTATGCTATAAGGATCTCAAAACTGTAAAAACATTGAAAATACGCCTAAGCGGTGCAAAGATATGGTGCTTAAAAGTCTGAAAAATCCGCCATTTTGTTACTAAAAATAGATTTTTTTAAAACTTTGAATCGCCATATCTTCACACTGCCTTGTTGTATTTTCAATATTTTACAGTTTTGAGATCCTTATAGGACAATCGCGCCAATATGTAACAATATCGAAAAACAAAAAACATATGATTTTTAGGAATGTCAAGTTCTATCTTGTGAAGAAGTTTCGTGATATTCCAAACTAGCGACAGAAAGTTATTTGCATGTGGCCAAATTTGCTGTCTTTTTTGGCCACCATGATCAGCAACAAGTTCAACGTAGCCAACAACGTTATCAATAAGAAAACCAATGTCCAAAAGTGCACAACCCCTCTCAACTTTGAACGTGTTGACGTCGAAAATACAACAGTCAAATTGTCAACGGTGAAATCAATCCTGTTTGGTCAGCTCATTAATGTCAAGGCTACTTGTACGTCAATTGTCAGGCTCAAAAATCATATCGACTTCAGCTGGTGCAAGACTGAAAAAACAAGAGACTGTTCTTGCGACCCATTTGGCTCCATCAAGATCATTCTGTGGGAGGACTTCGTGGACACCATTGAAACTGGGAATACGTATGACTTCGTGGACACCATTGAAACTGGGAATACGTATCTCGTCAAGAACATAAGATTAAAGAAAGATAATTATATTAACATCATATATTTCAACACAGCGATGACTGGTACTCAAATTAACGAGGCGACAGCGTTCAACCAGCCTCTTGCTGAGGAATCTGATGATGCACAACTCACCATTCTGTCTACCACAGAAATCACTGCACATATTATCGGTGTCACCACCATAAACATCCATCGCACATGCTCTTGCAACAAAGCCATCGAAGAACAGGGAAAGCTATCCAACACCAACAACCAATGGTATGTTAAGCTGTACGTCCAAGATACCACAAATCAAGCCAATAAAGTTTATCTTTCACTCTATCATTCTATGCTTGTCAAATTGGTAGAAGTGGCTGATCTCAAAGTTGATCTTAATTTTTGTAATGAAGAAGATCTTACAATTGCTCTCCTTGATTCTACAGGCGTAACATGCTATGATACTGCTGCGAAAGTGACAGATGTCACACCCATCATCATATGAACTCTAAAAACAATCATATTGCCACCCATCATGGTATGAACTCTAAGAACAATCGTATTGCCATTAACTATGGAACAATTTGAGTTCATGATCATATGGAAAAAACGTTTGGTTTCGTTTGATATAATCTAATCTTTCATTTATTGATGCATTTTTATAAGCTTTAACTTTTGTACATCGAAATTGTACATCAAATCAAGTTTAACTTAGCATCTACTAACAGTTATTGAATACGTTATGTTATTGATAGAACGCTACAATTACTGCATTAACACCATTCCAGCCATGTGATTTTACGCCGTCGTGACAAAATAACAACAATGTAATTTGTTATTATTTATCATGTCTGGAGACCAAAATTCAAGTTATTTTGATAAATTTATCCAAATTAAATATTAAGTGTAAATTTGACAGACTTTTTATTACATAACAAGACATATTATTGCCACTCCTTTTCCACAAACTTGAAAAAGTTTCACGGACACTAAATCACATCGCTCACAATGCTGTGCCTTTAAAGGCAGAGTTCAGTCTTTTGAATGATGGTTTTTAAGGCACATTTCAAAAACTAACCGGCTGGGGAAATCAACTGAGCATAATTCAAGATCAACAAACTTAATGTTTTTAACATTTTAAAAATTTCTATTGTTAAATATATTGAGCTTACTTGAATTATGCATAATTGATTTTTCTACTTAGTTCTTTCCCTTTTATGCCATCAATCAAAAGGCTGAACTGTGCCTTAAGTTGATATTGTTACTGCAAAGATGTCAGAAGTGCTATTAAAATTATTGTTGGGTTTTTAATGTTGACGTTTTTTTATTTTGAATAGATCAATACCGTTGTTCGCTGGCATCTGAGGAATTAACCCGTCACATTAGACATTGTCTGATCTGTTGTTGCGCGAAACATGTATGCTTACAGTTAACAGGTTTTTGTGTGACTAATGTCCCCCGGTCGCACTTTTAACCTGTGGTTACTCCTAGTATTAATAGTTAAGTGGACAGAAGACTAAGTACTGTAGTCTAGAACAAATAATGAGTATTTGCTAATTATGTTATTTTATATAGAATAATTCTTTTGGAAGTAGCAGTTTCCCATCAATGAAAATAGTCACTGGACCCCTTGTGTATGTTTTTAACATTTGTACTATAATTACATATTTGAGTATAATGTCAGGGGTGTAACCAGCCTTGGGGAAGTCGGCCTTGTAATTCCAACAAGCTTCCAACGCCCCTGCACCAGTCAAGTCTTGTTTTTTGACGATACACCTCTCAAACAAAATTGATATACACGGCCCTGTATATCCTATTAACTCATTAAGTTGCAATGTGCCTTTTACTTATATTTTACCTGTCAAAGGGAAAGTCTTGTCATTTTTGTGCTTTAATGGGGGGTTATTTAGCTGGAATTGGTTCATGTCACCCAGTTTTCAGTCAATGTTTAACACTGGTGCAACATGATAACTAATTGTTCACAAATTTAGTTCACATTGTACTTACCTTATAGGTAGTGGATGCAAGCAACAAAAGATGTCACATATTATGACCACTCCTTCAGTGGCACATGTATTCCACAATATGCTGTGGACCATCTGAACTTAATAAGGTACATGTATTTATTGTAACTGTTATATAGCCTGGTACTTACCCTTACTATAAAATTTGATATTAAAATTTTACTATTCATAAGGGAGGTTTATCCAAGAGGGGGAACAGATTTCACGGGGAAACCCGAATTGAAACACTGTAACACAGGCACTTTTAAAAACTTTTATCACATGAAAAGAATGATTACATCGTCTCAGGTAGCCCAACCATGCAATCATACTTATAATTTATACTTTTAATTTATACTTTTTATTGCTTTAATAGTACATGAAGTGTTTGGTCACTCAACAGCCTTTCTCATTCAATCAGGTAAAACCTTATTACAGTATAACAGGAAGAACCTCAACGGGTAAAACAGGTTTACCTGAGTGAGTAAATTATACATTTACATCCGGATTGCCATAGAAGTAATAGCAATACATTTGCATAATAATTAACATCAAGCTACAGTACAATGTAAATTATAGAAATCGATACCAGTGTTGAGTGCCGCCTTTTTGCAAAGGGAAAACGCATATCAAAGTTTATGTATTCTGCCAGTCATTAAAACACAAATTCGGTTGGACATGGTAAATGAAATAAGAAACAAAGAAATTAAATCATGGTACTGTGTTTATTTCCCATGTGCTTGTTTCTGTCAGTTGCTGTGATAACTGTGTAGATATATTAATCACAATATTTTAAAAAATAATCAAAGTACGTTCTTGTTTTCTATATAGCACATTTCAGCGAATACCAGTGGTAGTCAGGGAATGGACCATCATAGTTTTGCCAAATGTTGAAGATAAGCCTTTCCCAGTTTTAACTGAGACAAAATAAATTCCTCCAGTTAAAGGATATGATCAAAGTAAAGAAGAATTAGATCCTGTTGAAGGAGTAGACCAGGTGAAAGAAGAAATAGACCCAGTTGTTAAAGATGAAGTAGATAAGGTTAAAGACGAAATATATCCAAACAACAAAAGCAATAACAATAATCTCTTTTACATTGGTCAAAAATTTCATACCATAAGTGAGTTTGATGAAGCGAAGGCAAAATATGAGGAACTTCACTTTTGCGAATTATGGAAACAGGGTGTGAGAACCCTTGCATCTGCACAGAAACGAGTTCCCAAACGAGCAGCAAATGCCGATTTGAATCTTCAATATTACTCTGTGAAATAGGGTCTGTAAGTTTGGTGGAAGATCAACAATAAAGAGATAGAAAGTGTGATACAAATTCATTCAAGCACGGGTGCCAATTCGAGATTTATATTGTTTTGTCGCACAACGGGAAAGCGTTTGAAGTTGTGAAAGTGGCTGATGCTCATAATCATTCCCTGTCAGAACAGCTTTACCGACATTCTGTACGTTTGAAAGCAAACAGCAAGCTAATTCAACATAAGATACAAATTTCGACAGGTCTTCCAGTGACTTTAAAGGACATTGCAAATTTGAAAGCCAAAGCTAAAGTGGAGACAAATAGCAATGATCTGGATGTTGTGGTGGATTATTTGAAGGGAACAAATGGGGCAGTAGTAGAAGTAGCGATTGACGAAGATGCTTTGCTACGTACAAACTTCTGGATCTTAGATTGCCAGTTTATGTGCTTATGGTAGTGGATGGGAATGGCCTTAGCGATGTTGTCAGCTACTAATTGTTGCTGATGAAAGCGAAGCTGTCATAACTTCAGCCATGGAGTTGTTCAAACACCACAATCCAGCTTGGATAAAGACGACAGTCATCATGTTGGACAAAGATTTCACTGAACTGACTTTACCAAATGCTTCCCCAATCCATCTCTTTTGATTTGCCTATACTATACCCTTTGCACCTTCAGAAGGGAAATAACAATCGAGAAAATGGGAATAACATCAGGTGAGAGGGATAGAGCACTTGAAATCATCACCAAGATTGTTTATTCCAAATCTGAAAAAGAGTTTGAGGCAAATGTGGATCTGTTGAAGGGAAACCAAATGGAAAGCAGTTAAAGATTATTTCGTTGACAATTGGTACCCCATAAAAGATCAATGGGTTTCTTGTTTCAGGGATTCAATTTTTAATTTAGGCAAAACAACGAATAACCACAACCAACGTAGATGTCCTGTCAACAGAAAAGAAAAAATGTACCACCTTGACATAAGCACAGAAATTCTGCAGAGCAATGGATATGGTAAGGACTTTGGCTACATTGGTGACTGAAGGAGGAATGCAGACATTCAATACTAGAATGGCTGATCTGCAAAACATGCTTAACCTTTGGCAAACTCAGGACTGTCTTGGAACTAATCAAAGCAACATAAGAAGCAGCAACACTGAAGGCTCTGCCAATGATCCATTAAAGCCCACTGAAAGCAAGAAGGAAACTGAGAAGAGAAGAAAAGTTCAGAGAGAGATACAAAGATTTTGATGACATACCATATCACAAAAGAGATTTTGGACCTCGCCACAAGCCATTGCCAAGTACAGTCCACCAGGAGTAAAAAGAAAGTCAGGAGTACCAGCAACTTGTACCAGCAACAACCTCAACTCAAAGTTCCGCCACTGGCTGTTCAGGGAAGACGACTAAGAGCGATATGTGTACACAACCAGGACAAAAAAGCACGAAGGATTGTACGGAGAAAGAGCTGAAAGACGTAAAGATGCAAAAAAAGGCGCAAATGAGGAAGACCAAAGGGAGCGGAACTGACTGTCATTGGATTGCTCAGGGCAAAGAAGACCAAAAAGGGAATATTGCCATTTTCTTCAGCCAGTGCAGGCCGAAGAAAAGAACAGAATTCTTTTGGAGTGTTTTGTTCGTCATTCAGTTGCAAACAAAGCAATTTGGGGTGAAAAGCTAATTCCAGTACGAGAAGTGGAAACCAACATTCCAGACATGGTTCGGGATAAGGAAAATGTTGTTCTTGGCAGGATTGATAAGTATTTTGTTGCAGATGTATGGAAAAAGTTCTAAATGCAAGTGAAAAGAAGAACAAATCAAAGTGGATGTGTCCGGGATGCTCAACATCAATATGTGACAGAGATAAGAGTATTGTCTTTGAGAGATGCTTGTACTGGTACCATGTTAGTTGTATGTCTTGAAAGGACCACCTAAAGCAAAGAATTGGTTTTGTTATACATGCAAAGCCAAACACTTGAAAATTAGTTGCAAATCTGGCCATCAATACCCTATTCCCCCACATATAAGTGCAGTGCTTATAAGCAGATGTTGGGGAAAATTTGGTGTAAAAATTGACAGGTTATAGGTGCATGCGCCTATACGTGCACTAGATTTTTTTCCCCAACTGCGCGCGCTCATGGGGTCTGGGTAAGAAAATTGGCGAATTATTTTTATAATTATAAACCGTAAATGCAAGTTTAAACTGTAAATGCAAATTTAATATTTTGAAAAAACTTTCCAATTTAACAACAGAATGTTCAAGCGAAAGTTAAGTTATTAAAAGTTGTTGTGTGTGTTTATCAACCCGCAAATTTGGTCGGGATATAGGCACATGCGCCTATATTCAGATATAAGCCTATATCTGTGGGGCACCTATATGCAGGGGAATAGGGTATGCCATTTCATTAGAAGAGTTTCAAATTTCATTAACACCAAAAACGGTAGCATCACACTGACTACTTTAACACGTCTGGAAGGCCAGGATATTGTTGAAAGCCATTAGTATTGTACAAGTGACAGCAATTAAATTAATAGGGACCTTAAGCATGTATGACAGCAACACGACGACGATAGCCAAAACGAACTTCTTCAAATAAATTATATTGCGAAGAAGAGTTGTTGCATCCACTCAGCATGTGTATATGAATTGAGTTCAGTTTGATGAGACGAAAACAAAGGTTTTATGGTTAAACGCGCTCCTGCGAACAAATTTGTAGTTTCACTTGTCGCGTCTTGATATATTTGTGTTGTACACAGTACACAAGACAAAAATCTCTAGTTTGCCATTCTAAAAAGCCCTAACACAAAGTCTCTAACTCCCATGGGGCTTTTAGTTATTCATTTCTTTTGTAGGAGATCAGGAATATCATTGTGTCTGCGTTGTGTTGCCGTCCTGTTTGCTTAAGGTCGCTATTATAGGAGTGACAACTTTATATGTCTGGTTTAATAAAATGTTAAGTTTAAGCTTACTTTTAAAATGCCTACAGTTACTGTTAAAGTTAACATGTAATGTTGGTGAAATGATACAAAGACCCCTAAATGTAGGGGCTCCGCTGAAACATGGCTGAAAATTATGTTTCTTGCAAAATGTGTTTTTGATGGCAAATAACCTCGAGCAGGAATTTAATATTGATGAAATATTACTTGAAATTTGCAGCATATGCATTTGTTGTCCAGGACAAAGTATAAATATTTTTTTATGATTAGCACATTTGACGCCGGCTGACAGCCAGAAATTTTGTCTCCGATTGCTCGGCTGCCAGCCGGGATGTACTATAGTTATACTATATTCGTTCAAAAAATGTGCGCATTTCGGGGACTGGTTCTAGAGTGTTTTCATGACCACAAAACCAGCAAAATTACATTAAATTTTCCGAAAAACATTGAAATGCATCTAAATTCATCTTCCTAATGCATACAGTTAGCTATGCAACAGGTAAATAGACGAGAGAAAAAACAAATATGGCAAAGAGAAAAATCACTCTGGGATTGAACTCACAACCATCAGCATACGCTCTGAGTGTTGTTCCCGCACGCCACCACACCTTACACGGAACATATGTTAATTTATTGTATATATACAGGTTATTCTTAGCCAGCGCGATTTATGATTGCATAATATGTACACCATTGTACACGGCCAAGGTTGACAATAGCAGCCGAGCCGTATCTACTCTTTAACACAATACTTACAATACATCACTGCATAAATCGCGGCTACCAGCCAGGGTTATTTAACTGTAATACAATACTACAATGCAATACGACTGTCAGCCGAGCCTGTCGGTAGTATACTACAGTACATCACGGCTACCAGCCGGCAATACGTCTATTAGCTGATCCTGTCTGTACTACTATAGTATGCTACAAAACATCACAGCTACCAGCCAGAGTTATTTAACTGTAATACAATACTACAATGCAATACGGCTACCAGCCAGCAATATGGCTATCAGCCGGGCCTATTGCCGGCTGGTAGCCTTGATGTATTGTAGCATACTAAAGTATACTACCGACAACTGCATTGCATTATAGCATTGTATTACATAACCCCGGCTTCTAACTACAATACTACATAACTAATAACTGATCACTACATAACTGATAACTGATACATAACTGATAGCCGTATTGCACTGTATTACACTTAAAAATAACCTCCGCGGGCAGCCGCAATGCATTGTAGCATACTACAGTATAGTAGTACTATAGTATACTACAGACAGGATCGGCTGACAGGCTTATTGCATTGTATCGTATTACAGTTAAAAATAACCTCGGCTGGTAGCCATGATGTTTTGTAGTATACTTAGTATACTACAGACATGATCAGCTGATAGCCGTATTGACGGCTGGTAGCACTGATCTATTGTAGTATACTACAGTATACTACCGACAGGCTCGGCTGACAGTCGTATTGCATTGTAGTATTGTATTACAGTTAAATAACCCCGGCTGGTAGCTGCGATTTATGCCGTGATGTATTGTAAGTATTGTATAAAGAGTAGATATGGCTCGGCTGCTATTGTCACCCTTGGCCGTGTGCAATAGTGTATGTATTATGCAATCATAAATCATGCTGGCTAAGAGTAATCTATACATATACAATAAATTAACATATATTCTGTGTAAGGTGTGGTGGCTAGGGTTGGGCAATATTAAAAAAATCAACTCACGATTATTGTTGAGGAAATTATCACGATGTTCGATAATATCGCGATAAACGCCTAAAAGCATAGAAAGCTTATATATAATCTTATTAAAAACAAGTAAAACAACAGATTAAAGTAATATGAAGGCTTTTCTAGTCTAATATTTACTGTTCATAAACCTGAACTGTCTATGCAGTGTCTACAGTGTCTCCGCAGACACAACTAAATGCCATGGGCACACAGCGCAAGCAAAGCTTGCATGCAATTTCATTGTTCAGCAGTTTGCTAACTTACCAAGACTTACCAACTTACCAAGGCTTACTAACTTACTTGCAAGGCTTACTAACTTAGCAAGGCTTACTAACTTACCAAGTATTACTAGCTTACCAAGGATGATCACTTACCAGTGATAAGTAGGGATTATTAGGATGTATAAAAGTTAGAATGGTATGTATTGGTGACCGTAACACCAGGAATTAACCAATATATCGTATTAAATTCGTATTTGATTCAGGGAATAGTTTAGGATTTTGATAAAAGCTATGTACACATGCGAAGCAATATCACGATAGTCCATGAGCATGACGATAATTTCGATATATCATCGCTCAAGTTTCTACCTTCGATATGATAATCATGATTGAAATTATCGCGATAAATCAAAATATCGAAATATCGCCCAACAGTAGTGGTGGCATGTGGGAACAACACTCGGAGTGTACGCTGATGGTCATGAGTTCAATCCCAGAGTGAGCACAAACGGATCTGAATTTTTCTCTTTGGCGTATTCTGTTTTTTTCTCGTTTAT